TGTTTTAAACAAAAAGGGTAATACTAGTGTTGATATTGCACTAGAACTTTTTAACGCTGTGATCAAGTGCGAACCGAATTTTTCAGAAACGGCACACTATTATAAGGCATTTGTCATGCTGCAATTAAAAGAAAATATAAAAGATATTGAAATAGAACTACGAAAAGCTGCCAAGCTTTTAGATGAACACTGCAAGACGACCCTATTAGCGGGATGTTTTATCGACGCCATTAAAAAAGAAAATAGGAAGAGTATACTTCAAATCGATGCCTTTAAACAGCAGCATATAACATTGGCGCGTATTTATCGAATGTTCTCTGGAAGCATTGAAGATGTTTTCGGACATCCAGTTACTCCTAGTTGTTTCAGTTCATGTGGTAATAAATACAAAATGTACGAGGTGTATCAAGCGCTCATAGATAAACAACTATTAAGTCAGCCGAGAGTCGAATACTGTTCAGATGAAACAATTGAAGAAATAGGTATTGTGAGTGGTGTATCCCCCGAAAGCCTAAAGCAATTTCTTTCAAAATATTTTGGAAAAGATATCAACGAAGAACAATTCAGAAAAGACCTTAAAAATCAAATAAAACTACCAAGCAGGAAGTTGTTTTGGAATTATCTTACCACCCATGATTGTTTATTGAATGATGTTAAATATGTTTCATATGATGACGAAGAAATAAGTCAGTTAATACAAAATAAAATGGAATCCAATGAGCTCAAAAAATTTACTCATTCTGACATAGATGATACGAAAACTTGGTTGTTAGAGCCCGAGAAAAACTGTGTATTTTTTGAGAAGAAAGCATTTAAAGAAGCCATCGGTGCTAAGTCTTATAAGATGTTAAAAAGATCCCGTGTTCTCTCATTTTATCGTAGCGCACAATTTGATACAACTAAGCTTAGTTCCATAAAATTTCCCCTGTTCGATTCTATAACAGTACAAGATTTTGCCAAAGTAAACATTATGCAAGGTGATGCTGCAAAAATCGTATCTGAATTGTTGAAAAGTGGAGTTATTAAGGAAAAACCGAACCAGCCCAAGGTTTTCATGTTGAATATATCATTTGATGACATTGATGAGCGTATTCTGGTTCCATCATTTCCAGTCTATGAAGACGCTCTACGTAGATTGCTTTGTATGTGCTTTAAGTTTCGAAGGGAATTGGAAAGACTAATATTTCAGCTTTCGGATGAAACTACTCGTAGTAGTGTGAGAGTTCAATTAGAAACAAAAAGCCACAATCAATTGATGTTTGCATTTCTGGAAAAAGATATATTGGTTCCCATTAAAGTAAACACTGAAAACTATAAGAATGCTGCAAATAAAATAAAGGAATTGTATCCCATTGAAGACAATTTAATTTTTGGAAAGAATACAGTGGCGGACCAAATTCTTAGCGTTTTAAAAAATTCAAAATCTTCTCTAGATACATTAAAGACCCCTGATGCAGCATTAAAGCATTTCACAGAGGTACGTAGCAAGGGTGAGCTTGGAAATGCTGAAGAATTGAATGCGTTTTCACTAAACGGATCAGATAAGCTTTTAGAGTTAAAAGAAAAAAAGTGGTCAAGTGCAATGTTAAAAAGTACAGCTCTTGTTGTTGCTATTGGAATTTCCCAAGTAGCAATAGGGGCATACATCCAACTTTACTCTGCAGGCTCGTTAAGTCACGTAGGTTTTGGATTGTTCAACGAGGGAATCAGTGATTTGTTTTTTGCAGTCACTGCTTCTAACTCTGGTCATTGGGAATGGGGAGATTATCTGCAACATAAATATATCAGCATTGCACAAACAGCTTTGACTTGTGGATTTGCCGTTTGGGCTTCAAACTCTACTAAATTATCACATTTTGGAGAAAAACTTGCCGGTTCGGCCTTATTTAAAGATGGTGAAGGGACTGCATTGATGACAGCTAATAAATTGATTACGACAGTGGGAGTTAAAAAGGTTATTAACAAAGTAGGAAAGCAGATTATTTATGACGCAGGAAATGCTATTGATAAGGGCATAGCGAACAGCGGGGCTATGTGTGATCAAATATTAAGGAATTTTACTGACAAAATTATTGGAGAAGTGTGGGATGCCTTCGATAAAAAGATGAATGAAATTGATACAACAAGAAAAATTGGAAAGGTATATGATTCCTTGGGAGCAATCAAGGGAAAGAAATTAGTCCGTTCAGCATTAAAAAAATTTAATTCAACATATTCTGAAATAAATAAGTTAAAGCAAAATTTTGTTGAAGTTTTGAAAACGTATGAAAATAGTCTTGCTGATATAAAAAGTAACTCGCAGGATGTTCGTTCATTAATTTCGATCGAAATAAAGTCAATAAATTATTCTTTTATCGTGATTCTCATTATTTCTATTACGAAATCATTTTTAAATAGCATGGAAACCTTGCTTAGAGAAAAAGAGTCAGATATGATATCGTGTAAAGTTAAACAATATTTTCAGAAATCTAAACAAAATAAGAAACATAGTCAAGATGCCAATGACATATTGGATCAAGAATTGAACATAAAAAATAATTCGAGCGATATGATTTCATCTGCAGGTGCCACGGAAATAAAAAAAATAGCTACTGAACCAGAAATTATTAAGCCAAATGGTGCAGATATCAATATATCAGATAATAGTACAAGTATAGGTACACAGAATATTTCACAGTCCACAAAAACAGGTCAAGATTTTAGCACAAAAGAGCGCGAAGAATTTGTAAAATCAACAAAAGAAATGATTACTAATGACTTAAAAGAAAAAATCAATGATTTGTTGTACGAAAACTTTGTTACTCCTCTAATTTCAATAACAGTTGAAATAGTTGGTAAATACCAGAGCCGATTATATGAAAACTTTAAAAATAACACAGATAACAAGAAGTACCAATAACTTAATTATCATCATAACTATGATGTGGAAACGATGATTAGTTTTGTTGTCAAAAATTCTAAAAAATTAAAAATACTCAACAACAAACTATTATGACAAATTAATAAAGTACATTAGCAAAGGTCGAAATCCAAATTTAGTTGCAACCATAATATGTGAGGGCATCCCAATGGATACGACCTGTCATTATGCGGCCGTGCAGGTTTTATTAGAGATGTTAGGGCAACCAGTAGAAAGAAGGACGATAAGGGATTTTGCCAAATAGTGAGCTCATCCAGAGAAGGAGAACCAATTAAAATAGATTTGAATTTAGTCGACAATCATTACACGATTGCTAACGGGATTGAACTACCTGATACCGAGGGGAAACATAATTGCTTGTTTAGTGCATTGCCTGAAAAAATTCAGAAGATGATGAGGCCAAATGAATTTACAATTAAAGTTGCAGAAACAGTAGAAAAAGACCCAGAAATACAAAGCTATATTAGAAAAGGGCATCATAAGCTACCCTTGGGCTTACATTTTTTATGGTGAACCGAAGAGAGAAAAAACCAATAAATATACTCCCGGCACCAATTAAATTATTGGAACTAATTAACAAAATAAGTAAGAAGACTAAAATACCTGCGAATGAGATAATAACAGGGGGCCCCAAAAAAGTAGTTAAGGCTGCAAATAAGTTTAACGGCATAGATGGCAGATATCAATCTGCAAATTTGTATAAGTTAGTAGAAAATACGGATCGTTTTGATAAAAATGTCCATGAGTTTATAAATGGATACGTTGAAACTCTACATAAACAATGTGACAACAGACATAATCAGCAAATCATAGAACGGGAGCCGCAAATAAAAGTAAATGCCAAAAATTAAATATGCATTCACCGCATACTTAGTAATAGTCACATAAAGCCAAAGCAAGAGAATTAGGGGTAGTACTTGTAGAAAATATCAGTTACAAGTAACAACCGATTAGACAAGTGTTATTCGGGCCTAATACGGCGAATCCGAAGCGCATTAAAAAACAGATTGACCTTTTGGTCAGTTAGAGAAGTTTCCGATAATTCCCTTAAAATCGTAGACACAATTCAACATGGATTTTATCTCGAAATTTGGGATCACGGTTACCCAGTTACCCACTAATATTTGGCAAACACATTTTAAGTTTGGCGTTGTTGTAATAATTAATTGTTTTGTTATGGCCTAAGTTGCAGGCCGATTTCTTACTTAAATATATATCAAAATATGTGGCACCACCAAAAGGTGGTATGTATAAAAAGGTCTTGTTTATAAAGTAATAATCATTTTATATTTAAATTGTACACAATATATATTTAAACTTACTTAATTGGCATAATTACTCTAGTATGGCGATAGGATTGATTGTTATTAGTTACTAATTAAAAACATAATAAAAGAAAAAATAACCCCATTTTACTTGTAATTTAACTTGAACCGATAATTACTATAATACAGTTTCGTTTGGGGTGAAAGTAAACTATTCTTTAAATGATTGTAAATCCTAATTTGCTGTGACCAAAGTATAATTAATAAGAAGGCACTCTTTGAATAATAATGATTGATTATAATGTATGTACATTCAAAAAAACTACAGCACACACATTAAAAATTAAATAACCTACTCTTTGTTAACAACATAGCTATTTAACATACATACATAATTGTTTTTAGTGCCGGAACTTGTCATACACTTAATTTACATTATAAATAAAATAAATACTTGTTCATAAAAAATCCTTGTTTTTTACAAATTTTTATATGATTCAGAGATAGGATTAGAGATAAATGCAAAGCATTTCAAATATTGCGCTGTGTAAGTATTGCAAAAGCTCATTGCTCTGAAATTTGTGTGCATCCCAACCTGCCAACTCGCCGAAATGTTAACAAACGCTAACTAGCACAATGCAGCGCACGCGCACTAACTATGATGAACGCAAATGTGAATAGCACTTTGATAGTTGAAATAAAAAAGATAAATACACCACTACCATCGCCGCCCATACACCCTCGCACAGTGTTTGACAATTGGAAAGCATTCGCCGCAATTTAAATGCAACGCGAATGTGCTGCCGTGCGGACGCTTCAGCGGAAGGGGACAGAGATTGAATATAACGAATTGGGCATTAAAATGCAATTGCAAATAGAAGAAGCGTAAAAAATCGAAATTAGTTCGCTGATTCAACAACAAACGTTGCAGGTGCCATCTGCATGTGTGTGTCTGTGTGCGTAAATATATAAAAAGAAAATCAGGAGGAGCGGCGGCAGAACGTACGAAAACAAACGCCGCCGCCGGCGTAGGTGCATCAGCAGCCCCATCGACTAAGGGGGATGTTCCGCGCACTCTTACATTAGAGTCGAAGTCAACGAGTTGTGCCCAATTTGTTTTACCGGAGTGGCTTAGAAGAAGAACCTGTTGTTGTTGCTTCGATTGCTGCAACATTATGTGCCAGCAAGCTGCCAACAAACGCTGAATTATAACGGAAAAATCGATTGTGCTCATTTTTGTTTTGGTGCGTATTTGTTCGTTCGTCTTGTTGATGTTTTCACGGCTTGCCAGTGATTGTGTCCGTGTGTGTGTGCCTGCCCTTACATGCGTATGTGTGTGCGTGCTCGAAACTTAACAAGTGCGAGCGGCAAATCGCATTGAGACGGACATGGACACGGCATGACTCATGTGCAACAAAACAAAATAGTGCAATCGGGCTAAGCTAGAACAGACAGAAATCGCGCTGAAAATGAAAAATCATAAAAAGTATGCCAAGTTGCCCCAAGATTTGGATCTAAGTTTTCAAGGTGATTTGGATTTGCCAGACACACAGGCGGATGAGTTTAATTTGACTGCAAGTACTACTTCTGGCTTGATTGATGCCGACGTCGATATCGACGTCGGTGATGACGAGGACGACGAAGAGGACGAAATTGTTATTGCGAGGCAGGTGGGCGGCCTGCGTTTAGCCTCCGTCACAGCCCCAACAGAGGCGACACGTAAGCAGCAGCGAAAGCAGCGCAAACAATTGGAGCAGCAACGTAACGTTGGCAAATTTCTGGTCAGCAATAAGATCTGCGGTCTGGGCAGCGACAGTGTTATAGAGGTGAGTCACAATTACGTGTACGTACTTGTACTATATATGTATTCCTTCTGCAACTCATTCATAAAATTGTGTGCCTATGAGCTTAACATACTAAAGTATGTCGATATACACACATATGTATGTACATGTGTAGGCAACTAATTAAACACATACCGTTGGACTTAGTATGGGTTTTAATGGCTTCGGTTAAACTAGAGAGTCCCATTTATAAATACAACACCACCAGTCTATCCTAGAACATTTAGCAATGATCTTCCTAAATTATTTTTGTTTGATCGATAAATAAATCGAAAAATTTGGTTTTTAAAAAAGGTTAGTTTTAAAAACTAGAATGAAATACATAGCATAGCAGAATCATTGCTTTTTGTGTTTGAATGAAAATCTTTTTTTTTTTTAAATTAAATAAACTTAAAATTACAAAAGTCTTAAGCTTTTATCCTGTGCTATTCCTTAATTATTTCGGTTCTGAAAGAAAATATATTTAAAGGGAATAAAAGTATATATAAATAAAAGAAGGAAACTCATTTTTAATTGTTTTGGATATTTTTATAGCATTTGTATCAGTACAAGAATGACGAAATATTGCACAGAATCCAATATTCGAAAGATATCACTAAAAATTTAACAAAAGGACCAAAACTACATTATTATTATATCTTAGTATTTCAAAAAGGTCCTAAAATCAGGCGTCAGAAGACCGAATGGAAGCACCTAGATAAGCCAAAGCACAGACTATTTAATTTGGGAAGCAAAAAGTGCAACCAATATTGATTGATTCGAAGGAAATTATTCATTGGGTATTTGTTTCACCTTGGCAAACTGTTAATGGTGAATGTTTTGGAGTGTTTTGTGCAACGGTAATTCACCGCACTATTTTCTTAATAGTTAAAAAGGTCAGATTCCACATTATGCATTTTTATTTTGATCTTCCTTATTGAAGGTTCCATCATAAATGAAAAGATATTTTATTGCAAGCTAAATTTGTCACCGAGCGAAAAACATTAACTCTTTTATTTTCATACAAATATAATTTATAAATAAATTTGTTAACATTGTAATGAAATAAATGTTATAAAAAAATCTTCTAATTCATTTAAATTTGAAATATACGGACACAAATGTTTCAGTTTCAGTATAAAATCAGTTGTTGTTTAAAAGAAACAAAATCCAATTTCAATATCCTTCATAAAGAGATTGTAATTATTCAAATGAACGTAATGGCTTAAGAGATGTACAACATATTTGACTGTTTGTTGAAAACCCAAGAAAATCATAAACAGTATGGTAATAACACATAAAAAATGCCTCCCAGCCCTAATGAAACAACAACAAAATAAAAAGTGTCAGTAATAACACAAAACAGTCAAGAAGCCAACGAAAAATCGATACGGCAATAGAGAAGTATTCCTGCCATTTATTTCAGTTTACCTTACCTGGTCGTCTAAGTGGTGTTATGGGCGGGAAAATAAAGTAAGCTGGTTTTTTTTTTTTTTTTTGTTAAGACTATAAGTTATTTATGTTAACACGCCAATCAAAGGTACGATTATAGATGCTGAAATCAAAACTTGGGCCTTCTTGAGTATTGGCACACATCCCCTAATTATGTTCTACTTGATGAGCTAATGAAAAAGAAATTACATTTATGGTGATGGATGGCTGCACGACAAAGTACGCTTTTATAATATAGCCTAAGAATCTGCATAATCTTGATATTTGAATATTATAACTAGTTGCGTTTTGGATGAGATGGCTGAATAGCTAACAAGCTTATTGTTGTGTAATTTTAAATACACTTCGAAAAATACAAATACCCTTTAAATAACCTCCAGACAGCTTTCGCTAATTATTCTAGCTACAATGGGCTTACAAGTAAGGTCCAGATATAAATACTTGTTAAAAATGTATTTAGTTAGCACTGTTTTCCTCAATGCTATTAAGTTTTCATAACCAGTCAATAACCATTTGTTTGACTACAAACTTAAGGGGTCACAATAAAACTGATCCCATCCGCTTATATATTCTCATAGAGCTGACAGCCAGTCCCTGTAAAATAATCAATATTGCCATCAAACCGATGTCAATCATATTGTCAAGCGTTCTTGAATTGCCGTTCCTGCATTTCAAATGAGGTTCTCCCCACTTTAAATTTACCTGTGACATTTTCAAATAAAACAAGCAGAGAAGCTAAAGTCGGGTATCCCGACTTTGAAATAATCTGTACGTATGTGTAGAATAACTATGCATGTCCATGCGTGTATGTGTGCATCTGTGTATGTCTCGTGTGCCTGTGCAAAGCAGTAACAACAGCAACAACAACAACAACAGCTGCGGACACTGCTTGGTCATATATACATATATGGCTATAACTTCCTATTAAATCCTGTTAATCAGTATGAAACTTAATATACGGATTCATAATCACTAACTGGAAGAATTACCTGAATTTCAAATAAAAATTCCAAGAACAACGGGAGTTATGGACAATCAGTTATTCCGTTGGAAATGCATATTTTTTGCGTATTTACATAAGGCATCTGGTGCCCTTAGGTCTCATAGCTTCTGAGATATAGGCGATTATACGAACGGAAAAATGGGGAATCCCCCATAGGTGGGAAGTGGGGGGCAAATTAGAAAAATAAAATAAACTTGCACAGCGTACACACAAAAAGCATCTTTGTGCACAATTTGGTGTCTCTAAGATATAGTCTTTGAGATCCAGGTAATCATACGGACAGACAAACAGACAGACAGGGCTAGATCGACTCGTCTTGTCATGCTAGGGTCTGCCACGCCTCATTCTGCCTGTTACATTTTTCAGCTCGTACAAGAGTACTTTTCATGTGCAGAGTATAAAAACTTACGCCTGTGAGGCTATGAGGCATTTCCGCCAAAATGAATAATCAATAAATAATCTAATTCGTATGGATGGATATGGTGAAACAAACTTGTTCTGCTTAGGGGAATATGAATACCTAGTTTCATTATTATAGCTCTAATACTTTCCGAGATTTTGGTGTTCATACAGACGGACATGGCATTATCGACTTAATCTGCCATAGTCTGGTTTCTGTGCCGATCGTTTCTATGCATTTATATGATATGGTGCACCGATTGACAGAGTTTTTATGACATTATCATTTTGTTGAGAAACTACGAAAAGCTTATTAATATCAGAAGTTGGAATAAAATATGTAATTTGGTTTCCACATACTACTAATAAGTACAAAAGTTTGTTATTGATTTTTAAACCATTTCCGATTCCAATCAGTAGTTTAGTATGATTTGAAGATATTGTCAATTTTAATTTAGAGATATATATTCTGCATTTCCCTTTGAACGTACACACATACAAAAAATTTAACATATTTCTACTTGCAAAATTTTTGTTCTCTCAGCAGCTAGTACTTTACATTTTCAGTTCATCCGCGACTAAGTGTTATTTTATTATCGTCTGCAGAGCTACTCGTCTATCAAAAAAGTGAATACGAGTATGTTTCAGGAAGTCAAAGATATTCCCACTTTTAAGTGTGTGCTTGTTGGAGATGGTGGAGCGGGTAAAACAACCTTTGTGAAGCGCCACATAACTGGCGAATTTGACAGAAAATATGTTGCAACACTTGGCGTGCAAGTGCACCCTCTGGTTTTTCACACCAATCGAGGTCCCATACGATTCAATGTCTGGGATACAGCTGGCCAGGAGAAGTTCGGTGGTCTTCGGGAAGGGTACTACATCCAGGGTCAATGTGCGATTATCATGTTCGACGTCACTTCGCGCGTTACATACAAAAATATTACAGCTTGGCAGCGAGATCTAATGCGCATTTGTGATAATATACCGATAGTGCTGTGCGGAAATAAAGTGGACATCAGTGAGCGCAAAATTAAGGCAAGACAAATAATGCGAATGAGCAACCAGAAACATCTAAAATATTTCGACATTTCCGCTAAATCAAACTACAATTACGAGAAACCATTTCTTTGGCTGGGATCCAAATTGGTTGGAGATCCCCATTTGCAATTTGTTACAATGCCAGCCCTTCTGCCGCCTGAAACCCAAATAGACGATAAGTTGAGACTGCAAATAGAGCGCGATTTCAAGGAAGCACAGGAGATTCCCTTACCCGAGGAAGATGTCGAAATGCAATAGCTTTTCCGTTACAACATGCCAGAAATATTTCAAAAACAACAGCATAAAATGACACAAAAGCTGCAAGTAATAAAAATACAACCTATATTGCAGACTAAAGTAATAATAAGACTATGCACATATTAAGAAACAATGGGTTGAAAAATTAATAACAAAGAGAGGGAAGTATGCATATGGCACAATCTTTGAAGTTAAAAAGTAGTAGTCCGCAGTTTACTTGACTCACTAAGCTGAAATGCACAAAATTGTCGAGTATAGGTATATTCTCACCGCAACTCTATTCCCGAATATCCTTGCGTAGTCTTTAGAATGTTTATCAAAAAACGAGTTGATACTTGTATTTTTACTCTTGAACTCTACTTCTGTTTTGAGCCCTAAACCATTATTTCCAATGTAATACGCGAAAAGAGTAGAGTATGGTGATTTTGTATTGTTGAAAATAATCTAGGTGTACTGTTAATAATATACTTTTGGTGACAGATTTTAATTTATGATACTTTCATAAAAATCTAATCGAATTGAAATCCATATTTAAATGTCAAGCGTTAAACGTTGCGAAGTTAATAAGATTTAAAAATGCAACTAGTCCTGATGAACATATAGACATGAAAGATCGACTGAACTCACAAATATTTGGCATCACACACACTTTCGAGATGTGTTAATTAATTGTGTTCATAACACAATACAAGTACTATGCATATTGCGTGCGTACTATCCAAGGATCATTATATTGCCCTTTCCTAAATCGCTCCCGAATATATATATAAATACGCAACGGTTGTCAATCCGTGTCAATCTGATTGCAGCCCATTAAATATGGGTAACGTGTGCGAGGGCTTACAGTCGCAACAAAAATATTGGTGCCACATGTTTCTAAAAGAGATTACAGCTGTCATAGTGAGAGCATGTTCATGTGTGTGCGTATCTGCATGTGTATGTGTGCAATTAGCGCTGGTAATTGTGTATTTTGCATTAACCTTATTCGAGAGGATTTTCATGTGAAATTGTTTTGACAGCCGTCTCGGTAACAGTTGACAGTCAGCCCCTATGTACTAATAGCCTTAAATCGTAATTAAGCTTAATGGAAAAAGGTTTTAGTGTGCAACACTTTATGCGATTTTCTTTAAATTGTTTCTTCGCTATTCCACCAGTTTTTAATTTATTTTTGTCATTAGTTTGCTTGCATGTTTTTCTTTGCTTTGACTATCTATGAGTACGATCAAAATGTTATAGTGTTTCATGAAATTTAATGACTTAATTACATACTGTTATGTATGTTAACAAATTGTGCTAAAATTTAAACAACCCAATTATTATTATTATCATTTTAAACTATTTAAACTAAGAATATATATTATTCGCTACATAATTAATTAATAAGTTTAAAAATAATTATGTATTATTATGTATAATTATGCTTCCAACTTGTTGGTTACTCTATAATCTTGTAATATTGGTGCCTATATTTTGTGTTTGCTTTAAATTTCAACACAAGTATAAATTTAATTTAACTATCAGGTGTGTACTTCTTTTTGAAGTACAGATTCCCTGAAGTAATATATTTAACCGATTAGATAAAATTAGAATGTCTGTAGTGGAGAAAATGGTGGGTCCGGCACGTTCTAATCATTTCTTGTGGTACAATAACTTGATTTTTATTAAAATATCTTGCCACGGCTGTAACACACACTCACACCACATAAGCGCAGTGTGGTCTTACAATCCCTAGAAATTTGCTTTATTGTTAGTAAAATGTGTGTTTATTTGTTCAACTTGGTATGACTTACCAGCTACCAGGTATAGTCTGTATAAGAAAAATATAAACGCAGCTACAATGCTGTTACAATGAACTGTTATGAGCATATTTATTATTCCAGCGAGATCTCACTCTACTGATGCAGTCGAACATCCGTAAATATATATATCCTTATCAGTGCTTGTGATTATTCTTACAGCGAAATGCCGCCGCAGTTCATTGTCTGCTGATTGATAATTCTTAATACTGGAAATCAAAGACATTTTTAACCGGCACAAATAATGACATCGGAAGCGAAAATAAATATTTAATTCATATATCAATATTTGTTCGTAAATCTTAAAGTGAAGTACGACTAACCTAGATTTTTTGTAAAATTTCTGCGTTTTAACGTTAACGAAACATTATGCGTTCACGTTTATATTCTTTCCAACACTGCGACCGTTTTGGACAATCCGGTTCCACTATGCCTATAATAGGGCATGTTTTATTTACTTTAATCAGGTTAAAGGTCTCGTACTTACCAGTTGTCAAGGCCAGCAAAGTCATGACCATGATAATCATTGCTCTAATTTTCATGTTGTTTTCGGTTTCATGGCAATTACTAGACTGTTGCTGTAGCTATTTAATGAAATGCATTTATTATTATTTACTACAATGAATCGCAAATGATTCTTATCTCAGCTTTAAAATGAAATGCACCATATCTACACTGAACAAAAAGACGACTATTCATTTTATACGGGTTTCAATAAAATAAAATTCAATCAATATTATGGTTTTAGTATCAATATAATGATGAAAAATTATTAATTTGAAAGGAAGTACATATTATCAGTGTTTGCATATACGAAGGTTAACAAAAAATGAATTTATCAATATATGAAATATACAAAAGTTTCAAATTAAGGGTTAAAGTTAAAGGGTTGGTTGATTGAAATATTGGATTTGTCTTGTTTCCTGAAGTGGACAAAATTAAATATTTGCTTAGTATTAACCAAGGGGAAAAATAAACAGCTGGCATTCCGAGAGTAAAAAACTTGCAATCATTAGACCAAATACACGAATGTACACGATTGAAAATGATAATTAAATAAAAAATGTGTAATGAAATTAATAACTAAACAATTAAGGGCGAAGGAATTGATTTCTAGAAATTTGTTCGGCTTAAATGATGAAACTACAACGTATTTGGCAGAAGTGTTTGCAACGTAAGGTATTAGAGTCGGTTTGTAGTTAATTTTTAAATTTTTTATAGTTTAATCAAATTTGCAGATTATGGTGAAAGTTATTTTCAAATTAATTATAAACTTACTTTAGTTTTACAGTTAACAGATGATGTCTACGATATTAAAATATTTAAAATATAAAGAATGGACACGTTTAAAATGTATTGAAGAATTGATTTCCCACACATTAAAATCTCGATTTTAAGATGCGATTGATGACAAAAAGCACATAATTAAATAAAGGGCTTACGAGTTTTGTAGCTTATTCTGTAACTGGCTGGAAATATATTAAAGTGGTCGAATTTATTATTATTATTGTTTATCATTGAAAAACCTAATTTAATCAATTTTATTACCAAAATTAAAGTTTTTAAATTGATTCCCAATAGCCATTAAGGTTATTAGCTGTTTAAATCTTTGAACTACTTACATTCTCTGGATCTATTTAAGCACAACGAACCATCAAGAGTTACGCCATTTATTATGGGGTCGCTTAAATGAGCGTAATCTAACCTACATTTGTAAAACGTGCAACGTGCAGCAACAACAATGATCTAGACGACTTTCAGCTATTGCCATAACACGCATACGCCATGTGGTGCGCGTAAAGTAGAATTTGGGGGCCATGTGGGCCGCATCGTTGCGTTTGTTTATTTTCGTAAACAGTATAAAAACAGCGAACTGCAGATCAGCTGCAATAAAGAGCCGCCTTTTAGCCACACCAGTGGGCGTGACTCTGTTGCATGCCACACTTTTGTTTTTGTCTGTCAGGCAACATGGAATTTGTGCATAAAATGCTTTGTTGAAAAGAAATTTATAACACGGCTAAGAAATTTACTGCGCTGACAGGCGGCTTTACGGTAATGAGAAATGGTTAGGCACCAGGCATTTAAGCGCATTTATTTACTCGCATTATGATGCACAACACAAAGTGCATTATTATGCATAGCTGTTGCTGGTATGGTAGCGACAGAGCAAACGCTGCATAATATAATTTTCTTATATACATAATGCTGCTGCACCTTGGGATGAATTCGAAAAGTTGTCATTATAATGAACAACCAATTTTGGTGGGTGGTATTAAAAAATTATATAAAGCAAATATAGAAATAAAAATTTGTCTTATAAAATAACAAAATAAATAATACAAATATATCGCTTTCAATTGCAAATGTAATATGTAAATATTTGTAAGCTCATATATAAATGCAAATGCAGTTAGCAATCAAAAGCGCTGTCCTATCAGCAACTTAGGGAAAACTTCTTTATTTATTTGTTGATGCTATAAAATGCCATAACACATAAAATTGGTTAATTGTGTTAATGTACGTATATTATAAGCAAACAAGACTACATTTGACTGCTCTCTCTTCAGTTGATGCCTTATTATTTCAATTTAAACACAGCCTAACAGTGTCTATAGATAAGTTGTGTAGTTCATCTAAACAGAATGTTATTGCCAAATTATTTAGAAATGGTATTAGGTATTTCAAAAATATTTCAAAAACTATAATTTTTGTTGGTTATCGATATTTTTAAAAATATTACAATGCGAGCATGATTGTAGCTTTTGAATATTGTGAAATATACCTTAATTTCGTTTATTATACCAGCGTACGCCCTTCATTTTTATTGTAAGCACTGTTCCTCTAGTAGCAGACAGCTGCAGGGCGTTTGTTTGATAGTTTCTGCATTTTAAAAACTCTTTTTGGTGGAGGAAGCTGTGCTGCATAATTGGCAGCTTTGGCTGGCGTGTTTGCGGACAAACATGAAAAGCAATGAAAGTTGTGCGTCAGTGTTTTGTTTTGAACATTTTGGCTACATGCATAAATATAATTTGCACTTTTAATTGGGCGTAAATAAAGCAACTACCACACTGCCGCTATGTGAGAATGTTTCTTGTTAGCTGGTACCATATACTAGAAGTATTGTCACTAAATTTCATGGTAGATTTTGAATTCCATTTATAGTTTCACGCACACATAACTTTTAATACACAGCCAGCACTCCCAATGGCGCTTCTAGCGTTTTGCTTTAGCAGTTTGTTGTTGATTTTGATTTTAGTAGAAATTTCTCATGAAGTAGACAATGATATTGTTTTATGTAGTTTTGATTTTGAACAACTTTGTGCGCTCATGTATTTATTTTGATTTTCGCTAAACTTAACACTAATATATTCTATTTGATATTTCGGTTCGCATGGTACAGCATTTTGTTTATTCTTTTATTCTTTATTCTATCAATCTTTCGGTATTTTTATTTACTGTTAATTTAAGTGCACTGTTTTTCAAATTCCATGAAATATGTACTTTAATGTTTTCGATATAGTGGGCTTGACTGCACATCAGTCAAATCTTCATCGGCCCAAAAAAAATCCTCTTCACAATGATTTTTAAATGTTTAACCATTTTTTTCTGTCAATTTCCTGTAAAAACAAACCTTTCAATGCCATTCGTATTTATATAAGCGCTTGTAAGTATGCTACGTATTTTTTCGTTTCCTTCAACACGGCAACCCCAACCAAGGCAACGGCAACAACAACGCCAACAACAGCGATGATGACAACTGACTGCACAGCAAATGTCAATAAAAAAAAAAACTCGCGCAAAAACTGGAAATTAAATTTGCACAAACGTAAAACCTGTTTGAACTTAACAAAAACATCAATTGGTGGCTTGGGGGAAATGTGTAAAATTATGCCAGTGGGGGCGTGGAAAAAAAACAGAAGCAAATGCTTTAAGAAAATGAAAATAAATAGAGGCTACACTTGGGACGCGTACTGTACTGGTGCGGTCCAACCACCCATGGGGTGCTTTAGCACTGATTTTTGTTCCTGTTAAAAAATGTTGTGAAAATCTGACTAATACCCTTCTTAAGGCGGCATTTTGGGATTGCTATGCAAGAAAACAATTCAAAATCGTTAAAAAAGTGATTTGTAAAATGTAGATTGCTTCTAACATATTAAATTAAAAAGTTTGGGGTCATTTCAGTTATAAAAGGAGTTAGAATATTGCCTGATTAGTTCCTCAAATATGAAAACAGTTCTAAATAGTGCGTATTAACTCTGTTTCTGAAAATGAATATTTATTAAGAATATCAACTACATTCATTAGAATCTTGATCATTATTTTAAGTAAAAACACCTTCTAATGGAATAAGTTGAATAAACAAAAATAAATTTTAAAGCTAACTTTACATATTTTGGAAAAGATCTAAAGTGGGTGTTTCCAAAATCAAATACTTACTATATACCTATTATTCTCTTTATTATTTGTTAATTATTAATTTTTTTATTATTATTTTTATTCTCTTCTTGTAAGAATAAAAAAATAATAAGTATTATTGTTAAAGATTATTGTAATTTGGAAGGAGAAAGTGCGCTATATATTTTTAAATGATGCACAAAACTGTAACACTAAATTTGATTTTAATATACACATTTCTCTATTACTCGGTTTTAAAAATAAGGAGGAATATCAATCCTTCGAAGCGCCTTTGGCCGATGTGTTTGATAAGTCTCTGTAGACTTTATTGCGTCGCCTAGTCGTTAGAAAATGCGAATGGAACTTGAAGTATCTAAGGTCTGTGTCCTTTTCTTAGCGATCTGTTAGTAACATTGTAAAAGCGATCAAAGCTGTAACATTTTGGAATTTTTTTTTGTCAAAGGAAAGAGACGAATAGGGTATTGAAGGTGCGCCAAATGAAATACAGGAATTCTTAATTCTCTGTTGCCACCCATTCTATGCCTCAATATGGGGAGTGTCTGTGTATATGTTTGGCCTTTGTATGGCTGCCAGCCGAGTGGTCTTTGTTGTAACTCTTAAATTGTCAATTTTTGTGTGTTTACAAGCTCGAAAAGCCAAAGGCAGACAACAAAAATAACATCATGCCGTTGTTTTGCATGCTTGCCCTTCTTTTTTTTTTCGAAATGTTGTGGGGGATGGAGGCAAGGGCGCTTTTATCGTACACATGTGAAGCGGAAGTTTAGCATTTGTTGTTGCTGCACGTGCGCTGGCAGATCGGCTGTTATGTCTTTGGGCTCACTTCCTGTTGATTGCATTGTTTATGATGGCACAGGCAAAAGATGTCTACTAGTCTAAGCTGCCGCATTGTTTCATTCTAAAGTTCCTTTTACAATTTCGATAGTGTTTGCCCTTAAAATGCCCACAGTCCACAAAGATTAGCTAACACGTCCACTCTTCTATGCACCGTTTCCAGCATTGTCCTCTGGGGATATGAAATCAAGTTGTTAGCTGCATTCAAAAATGAAACGGATATTCATTTTTCCAATTATGTTTCTCTCATTATTATGGAAATTTCGAAGAATTTATTTGCATTCATTCTTGTGCATGTAAGCAAGGATACTTA